TACAGGGTAAACTGCTCTGTTTGCCTCATTGTTTTCTGTCTGCATGCCTATTTTGCTATGCAAAAGCTTTATGTCAATTTACTTTTTGAGCCGTTTAAGACCAAACCAAATTATTCTTTCAGCACATTTTAAACAATCCCTTAAAGACCTCTTTTTCTTGGCTATGTTTCCAATCTTGGCTTATCACTATAATATTTCATGCTCCATGCTTCTGAAAAAATTCAATATTCAAGAACAAAGTAATCCAGAGCTTTACTTCATTTCAGTCTTTTTATGTCCTAAGGCTGTCCCAACTCAATGACCCAGTTTTTATTGTGTCACATCTCACTGTCTGTTGCAGACTGCCACCAGCTTGCCTAATCCTTTTCCTGTCCCTTATCAGTTTTCCCTTAATTCAAAAATCTTTTTTTTAAATTCTTTGCACTTCTCCTTTCACAGCTTTTAAATTTCTTTTTCCTCCTCCTTCTCAGGAGACTCAATGCTCCTGTGGTAGGTACTCAGCAATACAAACAGGTAACCAAAGTCCATGAGCCTGTCCTTGTTGGAATATTATTTGTACCATTTTTAGAATAGTGGGTAGCAAATGATAGAAAGTGGATATTATAATTTGGCAATATGTATTAAGAGTCCTTAAAAATGTTCAAACCTTATGATCTGCAATTTTACTTCTGATAATCTGGCTTATTAATTTAAAAAAATCACCTAAATCGGGCGTGGCTGTGCATGTCTGTAATCCCAGCAGCTCAGGAGGCTGAGGCAGGAGGATTGTGAGTTCAAAGGCAGCCTCAGCAACTTAGTCAGGTTCTAAGCAACTTAATAAGGCTCTGTCTCTAAATACAATAAAAAAAAAAAATGGCTGGGGATGTGGCTCAGTGGTTAAGTGTCTCTGGGTTCAATCCCTAGTACCAAAAAAGAAGAAAAAAACAGAATCACCTAAGATATGTAAAAAGCTATACTTATGCATATATGTATGTGTGTATATGCAAAAGAAGAAAACAACACAAATACTCAATAATAGGAGAAAAGTTAAATTATGGTCCATGTACTTGATAAAATAATGTGCAATCATTTAAGATGATGGCAATGTGACATTGTAGATACATGGGTAAATAATTACACTGTTCTCAGAAAAGCAGGGTACAAAATTGAAAGTGCCTATGATTACAACTTTTTTTTTTTTGGTAGTACTGAGGATTGAACCCAGAGGTACTTTACCACTGAATACATCCCCAACCTCTCTTATTTTTGATTTTGAGATAGGATCTCACTAAGTTGCTGATGGTGACCTGGAAGGTAAGATCCTCCTGTCTCAACCTCCTGAATTGCTGGGATTATAGGCACATGCCATCATGTCTAGTAAAATTGTTTTTAAAAAAGCACTTACAGAGCACTTTTGCCAACAGTTGCTATTTTGGAATGGTAGAACAACAGATGATTTTTTTCCACTCTCAAAATCTTGTGATTCTATTTAAATTTTTTAAAACTGGAATCTTGCTGGGCATGGTGGTACATACCTGTAATCCCAGGAACTCAGGAGGCTGAGGCAGGAGGATGGCAAGTTCAAGGCCAGCCTCAGCAATTTAGTGAGGCTCTAAACAACTTGGAAGACTATATCTCAAAATACAAAATAAAAAGGGCTGGGGATGTGGCTCAGTGGTAAAGCACCCCTGGGTTCAATCCCCATTGCCAAAATTAATAAACTATAAACTTAACGGATTCAAATAAGAATAATGTAAGTAGATTAAGTCTAGCATAACTTAAATTTAATAATAATGTAATAACTGGGGAAGGAAAGCAAAGAGTATGTCATTTTATTTTCCATTGTAGTCATGTCTGAAAGGGAGAATTGGGAAAAAGTTCTCAATACCTATTTTAAACCATAACATTATTTTTTAAAAATTTAGTAGGTTCTTATTTTATTGTCAAGTTTTACTGTCCCTGACTTGATCCAGGCCAGCTTGTTGTCTCCTAAAGAACTTCAAGTTCTTGTTGGTCTCTCTATCGCTAGTCCAACCTTTTCAAATAATTTCCCACACTGTCTTCAGAGAGATCTTTCTGAAACCCAAATAAATTTATGATACTGCACTGTTTAATCTATTCAGGGATTCAGAATATTCAAATCTTTATTCTAGCACCTCCCAAGCTTCTCTGCCTCATTCTGTGCCATTTCTTCTCTTTGCACCAGTTTTGCCAAACTTCTTGTAATACCTGCTATGGTACTCACAGTCATTATTGCCTTTACCTCTCACTCCTGCGCTAAGTACCCACTCATTCTTCAGATCTCAATTGTCACTTTCTTTGGGAAGGCTTTCTGGATTCTTGGTCTCATGGAGACATCCCTTTCTCTGTAATCCACAGTACCTCACCACACAGTGTGATCACTCACTTGCCTATCTGTCTTTTCTACCAGACAATCAACTTCTTGTTTGTACTGGCAGGTGAGAGTCAGCATGTATACATTTAACCTGATATGGACTCTTCCCCTTCATTGTGGATGCTAATCGATGTTGATGTGCTAACCTGGATGAGCACAGAGAGGAATGCAGGGGAAGCCAAGGGTTTATTATCCTCAGGTACTTAAAGGGGTAGTAACTCATTCAGTGTACCTCCCTGATAAAGTTATACTTTTCCACTTTGTGTTAAGTTGTTGTGCAAATGTTTTACCTTCCATATCTTAACCCTGAGAACTGGAAGCCATCTTGTCTGTGCACCCTTGAGTATTTCTTGTATATACTTGGCATGCATTCAAACACATATTAAAGTAATAAATTTCAATATTTTAAAATCATTTTAATATACAGGAATTCATACCTACTTTGTCTCTGATGAGAAAAAACAAATGAGAGAAAATATGTGGAAAACAAAATACTTGTAAAGCTCAACATCTTAACTAGAAAATTTCAGAACAGTTTCGTCATGCCCTTGTAGAAAAGTAGAAAAGCATATAAAAAGATTCAAATGAAATCAAGATAAAGACTGCCTAGACACTGAATGTGGTAACATGTAAATATCTGCTCTACCTCAATTTTATTCACTTTAGATAGAAAATGAGGAATACTCCAAGAAAAGTTACTTGCTCGGCATAACACAAAAGTCGTGGTTATTGATTAGATAAGAAACAAATGACCTGGTCATGGTCTCAAATTTCATTCTTTGTTTCTACCTTACTATCTCTGTATTTTAAGCAATGTGTTTATTACAGCAAAATTACCTGAAATTTTTAATAAAGCAAACCATTTTCTCAAAATTTTTACCATCTTAAGAATTTTTATAATGGCTAACATTTTAATTAAAATCATAAACTAAATTCTTAATCATAAACTTAGGTTTAAATATACCCAAGGCTCTGCTATTTAAAATAAAACTCCGGAAACAATTTGGAAATAGTAAAGTCTTTCTGGATCATCCTAATTTATATGCTTTGTAGATTTAAATTTCTGTTTTCTTATAGAATCATCTGTTTCTATCTGAAAAATAAATGCAAACAATGTGAGGTCTTGAAAAATATTCAGAGAATTATATTTTGAATTTCCAATTATTACAGTATATCTCATGAGTACTCTGAGAAAGACTAATTCGTCACTGCATGGGGGAGAATCTTTGACTAAATTTATATATAATAGTAAAAAGCAGAAATAATAAAATTAGGACAATAGTTTGATCAGGTATAATCAAGAATGAATGGGAAACAAAGACTTTTTTTTAAAGTAAGCACTATTAGAATGAATAAGGCAAATTATGGAAACCCAAAGAAAAGCATGAATTGCAAAAAAAAGAAAACTAAAATTAGGATAGCTTTTAAAATAGCTACTATTCCTTCAGTAAAATTCATTATGTATAAAGGTATACTTCCCTGTAGAAATGAAAATCTAAGATAAAAATATTATGTTCCTTCAGACAACCCAATATCACTAGAAAATAATGTTCAGATATACCCACACAACTTTCTTTTTAATCTATTTTAATTCCTTTCTTCTATTTGCAAAGAAACATGCTCATTTAGGATCATGAGCCTTTGGCCAACTTAGCTCTCAAATCAAGCCTCTTGTGAATTTAATGAATCTATAGGCGCTCTTCAATGAATAATGATCTAGTAGATGATATCACAAGGGTTAATTTAATGTGTTTACTATAGAATCTGCTACATAGATGGAGCTCTGATATTTTTTTCTCCTTCATTTCCCTGCAATTCTGTAACCAAAACAGAACAGAACAGAACAAAACAAAACAAAACAAAACCATAGCACAAAAGAATTACACAACACAGGAATGATCTGTTGCTTATCCTTTAGCATAAATAGTTTATAATTTATTGTAAAAACATTTTGCGTACCATCATCACAAATACTGAAAATGAGTTTATGAAAGTTACAATTTTATCACAAAAATATTTCCTAAATACCATGATAATCCACCTGTCTTCTTCTTTATCTCATTATAACACACTAAAATGAGGGTTAGAATTTAATTTAACCTAGCCGACTTGAAGATTTGGTCTCTTGGTTTATACATATAGTCTAATACCATTTTCATTTCAAGATACATGGTCAAATGTACAGCCAAGATATGGGTAACTGACAAATTTACATAGGAACTCTTCAATGAATAATGATCATTGAAACATAGAAACATACACACTTCTAGTTATAGATTCTAACTAGAAGAAACATACACACTTTTCTAGTTATAGATTCTAACTAGAAATATTACAGTAAAACCGGTAAGCACAACTACAATAGACAGATACCTACACACCTGAAAAAATCAACAACAACAAAACTTTAGCAGCAGGTGGACAACATCTAGGTCTTAGGATCAGTATACTGCTTTTGTGTACTGTACAAAGTCTTACTGCCCCGCAATCTGGGGGTTTCAGAGCTAGATAGCACGCAACTCAAAAAACTTGCTTTGTCCTTTTTTCATGCTATATCTCTGAGTTTCCCCCTAACTCTTGTAGTCTTCTAAAATCATCTTTCAGATTTTCCCTTAATAGCAATGAATCAAATCTCTTGTATACATGACCTCATTCTTCTATTGTCTCCTCTGTTTGCAGACAGCCGATCAAAGTCCTGGAGATGGAAACGAACTGCCAACTGATTGACCATTTTCCTCAAGGTAAGAAATGCTGAAATAACTTGGAATGTAAGGAAGATAGTGAAGATGATATGAATTGCTTTTTCCAAGGGCAGATTCGTTAGGCCTTCATTAAAGAGCAAGAAAAGAATTAAAGGCAACTGCAGTAGAAGACTCAAAAGCCAAAAGCCAGCCAACTCAGGAACCTGCAATAATACACATGAATATGATTAGATCAGGAAAATGCCATGTTTTGTTTATACACATAAATGAGTACTTAGCACTGCTATGAACCTATGGTATGGGCTCTAAGAGTAATTCAAAAGGAGTATGACGTGGTCCTTGTCCTTAGAGATCTTACTGTGGAATAAGAAAACAAACAATGTAAAACAGGACTAGAATAGTACACTTTAGTCAATGATTAAATGCAACATTTAGAAGTATATATGCTACAAGAAGACAATGTTAGGGGAGGTGAAAGAAAGATACCAAGGAGCTATTCTTTTAAAGTTGTGCAGAGGGAAGAAGGTAAATAAGCAAACATGTGAAATGATCATGACTCAACTGGAAATCATCACATTGGCCTGGAATGGATTGCTGTTAAGAAATGACAAGAAATTCAGTAAGATATGCTGGGTGTGGCCTAATTATGAAGTCCTAAAAAACCACAAAATTATCCCAACACTCTGGTAACTGCAAACGCTTTTGCTTAGGCAGTACAATGATTCAAAAAACATGGGCCTGGCAAAGGAAATGAATTTAGGATTTTTCTCATTTTCTTATTCAGGATCCAGACAGACATATTTAATTGACCAAATATTTTCAAGGCCAATATGAAGATGAAAACTTATCAATTCTTAATTGCTTACTATATCCAAATACTTTACATAAATCATTTCACTTAGTCTCAACAAGCTTGTAAAATTAATATTATTTTCTTCATCTTATATTTAGAGAAACCAGAGCTCAAGAGATTCAGCAAACAGACTACAGTGAGAGGAGTGGTCAAGTTGGAGCCAGGCCTTAAATTCAGGCCTGTGCTCCTTCCACCACCTCTCACTGCCTTGTACTAGCATGAAAACGTTGTTGCATTTATGGGTAGCCCTGAGAGAAAGGGAAGGGCCTACCTTCTCTTGTAGGTTTCCCATGTAGCCCAGGTACAACCGGATGGCTTCAATTAAGGTTATTAGGATGATAACAGTGATCACAATGAATTTGTAGTAATCAGGCAAAACTGAATACTGAAAACATAAAAAAAAGGAAAACATGTTTGTAAAATCTCACATACAGTAACACTGACCTGAGATTTTAAAAAAAGATTAAGAACTTTAATTTTATTGACAATGGAACAATGTTAGGGATGAGCAGAAGAGCCCTCAGTGGTAAAGCATAGACTTACCTTCATGTGAAGCATCATAATACAGCTCACCCACCAAAGTGGGAAAAAGTAAGTGTTAAAGTAAAGCGACATCTGCAATGCCAAACTGGAGACCATTTCATTATCTACAGAAGAAAGAGAAAAGGAACAAACTCTTAATCCTAGTCTCTGCCCTATAAATCCTTTCATTCCTGAGAATCCATAACTGTAATATTGGCTCAATAAAACTACAAATTTTAGGCCTCTTTATAATTTTTGAAAGTAAAAGGAATATTCATCTTAACACCATTTAGTTCAAATATTGGTTACTTGGGGGTATGTTTCAAATTCTTCAGTTACTTATCTTGCCATTACAGTCTGCTGACTTTTTTGCACATTACTGGTATAGATTAAATGTGGAATATCAAGATAAGTCCTGTTGAACAGATAATAATTATCATTTCCTCCTCTGTAGAGTTCTGTGAAGTCTATAAAATGAATGCATAAATACATAAAAATGAATCACAGATAAACTAATCCCATACAAAACTAATCTCCTCAAATTGTAGGCACATACCCTAATCCTATGCATTCTTTAATGCCCAAGCCAATGCTACCTTTCCCATAAATCCTTTCTTGATCATATTCTCCCATCCCAGCAGAAATGTCTTTTCCCTCTAGGTACTTATTACTTTACACTGTGTATGACAGTGCTGGCATAGAACCATTCTCCCCTCACCCTGTCTAGTACATTGAAGAGACCATGGGCTTTAGGGTCCATGTAAACCCAGAACTCCCCAAGATCCTGTGAGCCTGGATGCCAGTCGTGGGATAAATCATTTAACCTTTTAGAGCCTTAATTTCATCTATAAAATGATATTACAATTACCTTACCCACTGCTTGTGAGGACTAGAAATACAAATTACTTCACCTTGGCACCTGCACACTTAGTAAACACCAAATATTAGTCCCCCTTCCTTTTCTACGTGAATATAGTTTCATTGTAAGCACAGACATATCCTACCCAGATTTGAGACCCTCATAGTACTGAGTATCTTGCTTTGTACTTTGTGAATACCAAATACACATAAGCAGAAAGAATGACTTGATGAAAACATAAATATTCATTATCAGGGTAGCCATTGTGATAGTAAGTCTCATTTATCTAAGTTCATCACACAATACCTTCTGTTTTCATGTAAAGGAGAAGAGCACAAAATTAAGAATTTAACTTTTTAAAATTGAGCCCTACAAGATACTTCCTAAATCTAACTGTTCTTAAGAGCAGATATATATTTTGAAATTGGTTGCTCTAAATGTAAGGTTTTACAAAGGTCTAATGTAAATTTCTTAAAAACATGATCTCTCACAGAAAAATGGTTTCCTTTGGCTTCAAGAATATACCTGGTTATTATAATCTTTTACTTATACCAATTTACTAAATTACTACTGACAAAGGAATGAATTCTTTAAAAAATCAGTTAAGTCAAAAGAAAACTCACTAGTCAGTATTTTTTTTTTCATAACAACAGTATAATTCTTGGCCAGGTGTGAACTGAGAATGATATAAACTTGTTAATACATACAAATAATCAAAACGATTTCAGATCCACAAAGAAGAAAATGTGGAAAAATAATAATGCATTAATTAAGTTGAAAATTTTAGTTTAAACTTTGGGGCAGTGGCTGTTAAAATTTCGCAAAGAACAATTTTTTATGTTACAATTTTATTACATGAACATCTTAAAAGTTACGCTATGTCTATATTTCAGCAGATCAAAGTTATAATCATGCAATTCAAAATCAAATTAATATGTAAATGAACTTTGAAAGCACAAGACACAAATTTACTAAATTTTGCAAAATGTTGAGTTCTGTAAATGGAATTTAAATTAAAACGTTATATAATCCGGCAGGCAAACTACTGGCCAACTGCCTGTTTTCATACAGTTGGTAAGCTAAAAATAGTTTTTCTTATGTTTAAAAGGTTGGGGGGGCAGGAAGCAATATTTTATGACACTAGAAAAACATATGAAATTTAAATTTCAGTGTCCATAAAGTTTTTTTGGTTTAGAGTCATGCCCATACAATTACTATTGCCTATAACTGCTGCAGAGAACATATGGCCTGCAAAGTGTGAAATATTTATTACCTGGCCCTTTTCAGTAAATATTTGCTGACCCCTAATGCCTTGTATTATCAGATGTTAGTGTCTGTTAATCCTTACCCTTGGAATCACAAAAGACAAAACCTAATTTTTCACATTATTCTCTGCACATTTTAGATCATAAAAAGGCCCACATTTGGGGACTAGGCACGTGATCACGATGACAAGATCCAATCATGGGAACTAACTTTGCCTTTCTCTGCCCCCTTGTAAAAATTCCTAAAGCAGAGGAAAAGCTTGCTGTTTCCCTGCTGAGCTCAATGATGAAAACCACACAGGTTTGGTTGACAGTATGCTGTCTATCATCATAATTTAAGGGGTGTGAACTGTTTCGGAGGAAACTGTATTTTCACTTGTCATCAGGTTGAATGTAGCATCTTTACGTTGTGGTATTTTTGTTACTAGATTTGGGGGGAAGAGTTATATATAGAAGAGGAGAAGGAGGCAGGGGAGATGAGAGTTTTGATGAAGGCCTCGTTAGCATGGCAGCTGACACTCCAGCGGATGGAGGTTTACAATGACTCATTAAAATTCTTTCTTTTTCCACTTCTTCTGCTGGAAAACGGCCTCGTGCGGAACGTATTCTTTCTGCTAGAAAAGGGCAAAAGGCAAGTCTATGTCACCGGGGTGGGGTCTGAGGGATCAGGAAGGGGAGGTGCTTTGGCTGTTCCCCCCGATCCTGGCTGGAAATGCGCGGCGGGCGGTGCAGAGGAAAAGCAACGTTGGCTTTGGCGGACGGGTGTGCTGTGAAGGAGGCGTTTTTATTTTTATTTGAGTCCTCTCCCAGGCAGCTCACGCGACACTCTCTCAGCTGCCGCGCTTGCAATGCACCGGCCAGGTGGCACACGACCAGACCAGGCCCGGCTCGAGGCGGGGGCCTGCAAGGGCCCCGGCCTCAGCACCCGCGCCCAGCTCCTCCTCCAAGGGGCTCCCCACACCGCGGAGAACCCGCTGAAGGCGAAATCGCCATTTTAGGTCCGGGCAAAATCTGGACGCTCCAAAACCCGCGCGGCCACACCTTTCGGGCCTCGGCCACTCACCCGGACCCTCACTGTACTCCGGCCCGGTCCGGCTGGAGTCGCTGAATACGGTCCGGCTGAAGTTTCCCAGCCGCTGGCGCACTGGATCCGGGAGCTCCATGTTTGGGCCTCAGTGTCCCTCGCCCCCTCAGACTCTGGCTGGTCTGCTGGCGCAGCCGCGCTTCGCGGTTCCCACGGCAACCCGGCGGTGTGAGGCGCGGAGCCCGGGCACGCGCTGGCAGCCTCATTGGGAGCCCGAGCGCCTGGCAGAGGGAGGTCTGCAGAGAGCTGGTTCCAGGCCCTAGGAGCCCAGCACCCCAGCGGGGCTCCAGACGGCAGATCCCTTAGTCCCGTCTTAAGCCCCACCGTCTTAAAAATAATCAGAAGTAATTATAAACCACCTGAGGTTGGACTGCACCACCAGGCGCGCTCAAACCTTGCCAGTGAGACTGTAAATTAGTGCAGCCTTTCTACAGAGGAATATAGAATGAATGCTGAACCTAAAGATTGTTCATGACTCAGTAGCTCTGTGTGTGTGTGTGTGTGTGTGTGTGTGTGTAAAATGTACGGAGAAGATGGAGTGTGTGCGTGTGCTCACTGGCTTTAAGAAAAAAAAAGGACTGAAAGGAAATAATCTGAAATATTAAAAGTAATTTATCTCTGGATGGTGGAATTGTGGGTGATTCAAAAAAAATTTGGGGGTGGGGTATATTTGTGTTTCCTAGCTTTCTCTTAAGATGTATTATTTAGGGGCTGGGTTTGTGGCTCAGTGGTAGAGCGCTTGCCTTGCATGTGTGAGGCACGTGTTCTATTCTCAGCGTTACATATAAATAAAATAAAGGCCCATTGACAACTAAAAAATTTTTTTTTTTAAATAAAAAGATGTATTACTTAAACAAATAAAACCATATAAGTGTAATATAGAGAAAGGCACAAACTGAATGAATTGACATCTAGGTCAAAAAACTGAAAGGGCTAAGGATGTAACTCAGTTAGTTGGTAGAGTGCTTCCCCCAACACCACAAAAACAAAACAAAACAAACAACAACAACAACAACAAAAAAAAAAAACCTGACCCTTACTCGCATCCCGGGGAGCTCTTCCTTCCTATTCCCTTTATGTCTCTCAGCATAGGACAATTTTGCTAATTTTTATACTTCATATTAAAGCAATTACACAAGAGGAACTTTAAATAAAATCTGGTTCTCAAACTTAGAAAGTCAAGGGTCATATGTTTTCTCTCATATGTGGAAGCTACAGAGGAAAAAAGCAAAATAAATGGAAGGAGGGGATCTCATGAGAATCAAAGGGAGATCAGTAGACCCCAGGGAGGAAGGAGGAGAGGAAAAGGGGAAATACTGGGGAATTATATAGGCCATATTATATTGTTATATTGTGTGCATATACAAATATGTAACAATGAATCCCAACATTATGTACAACTAGTATGGAGCAATTATAAACAGTACTGCTTTTGGTAAAAAGATGCCTCTTGGTGAGCATATGGATGCACTTGTGTTGAGTGGAAATTGCTGGAGGGAAGATGCTGTAAGACCCAGCTTTAGTAGGGATTGCCAACAGTTTTCCACAAGGATCGTACCAGTTCCTACTCTTTCCAGCAATGTATGAACTCCCTCTTACTTCATATATTTTACCAACACTTGATATTTCCCCATCCTTTTCTTTCAGCCTTTCTGATGGGTGTGTGGCAAACTATTAATTTAAAAAACCAAAAGGAAAATCACACATATTCATACAAATGTCAAGAGGAAAGTATAGGAAGAAATTTTTTTTTTTGGCTAGAATTTTAAAATAATTTAACAAAATTTTATTGCATTTCCACTACATTTGGGGGGACTGTGCTAGGCTAACTAGAGATATGGTCCCTTCCCATCAAGAAGCCCAGTCCAGTGAGAGAGTGCTAGACATGGGAACAAATCAGTACAACACATTGTTGTAAGTGCTCTAATAAAAGAACATTGATGAAGAAGCAGTTAATTGTGGTTGAGGACATCAGGGAAAAGCTGGCTAACTTCTGCTTCATTCAAGATGGTGTGCAGGCTCCAGCATCTCCATAAAGGCTTCCAGGACCTTTCTAAAGCTGGCTTAGGTGCCCTCCACTGTGTTTCCCAAAGCATTTTCCTCTTGTTACTTTAGTCCCAGTGCTGGTAATTCTGTCCTGTAAATTTTCTGTTTATGTGTCTCTCTTGCTAGTCCACAAGCTCCTTGAGGTCAGGGAGGGACTTTAGAGTTGGAACTGAGTGGTGACTGGCTGAATAAAGAGAAGCAAAGGCCTCTCGAGTACTCCTAGGGCTTTCCAGTCCTAGTTCAAGGACTTAAGTCAGCCCAGGTATAAAGTTTACTCTGTAGAGGGGAGAATTAATGTATTAAAGCACAGAGTTACAACCAAGAATCCATTTTCATCTATTAAATGAACCAAGATTTTTATAAAGGGTACAGTAAAACTGGAGGCCTCATGTTCTGCTAATTGAATTATTATCTAGACAATCACAGTGAGATAGGCAATTGACAATATGTACAAACAACCTTAAAAATGTTCCTGCCTGACTGAACAGACACTTCACAGAAGAAGAAATACAATCGATCAACAAACATATGAAAAATTGTTCATCATCTCTAGCAATTAGAGAAATGCAATTCAAAACTACTCTAAGATTTCATCTCACTCAAGTCAGAATGGAAATTATCAAGCAATAATAACTGTTGGTGAGGATGTAGGGGATGCATTGCTGGCGGGACTGCAAATTGGTGCAACCACTATGGGAAACAGTATGGAGATACCTCAGAAAACTTGGAATGAGTCCACCATTTGACCTAACTCTCCCACTTTTCGGTTTATACCCAAAGAACTTAAAATCAGCATATTACAGTGACACAGCCACATCAATGTTTATAGAGCTCAGTTCATAATAGCTGAACTATGAAACCAACATAGATGTCCCTCAAAAGATGAATAGATAAAAAAGAATGTGGTACATAAACACAATGGAATATTACTCAGCCTTAAAGAAGAATAAAATGGCATTTGTATGTAAATGTATAGAATTAGAGAATATCATGCTAAGTGAAATAAGCCAATCCCCAAAACCAAAAGCTAAATGTTTTCTCTGATAAGTGGGTGCTGATCTGTAGTGGGGGCAGGGGGGGGGATAGGGAAGAACTGAGGAACTTTGGTTTGTGTAGAGGGGAGTGAAAAGAGGGGTGGGGCTGTGAGGATTTCTGGGGTTGTAGCTCAGTGATAGAGTACTTGCCTGGCATGTGCTAGGACAGTAGAATGAGACAGATATTATTAGCTTATATACATTTATGGTTATACTACTGGAGTGACTCTTCACCAAAATGTACAGCCAGAAAATGAGAAGTAGTGCTGCGTATGTGTACAATATGTCAAAAATGCATTCTACTGTAAAATTAATTAATTAACAACTAAAAAATTAATAAAATACACACACATAAAGAAATGAATGTAGTCCTCCTGGGGGCTTTAAGATTATGTGCTGTTCATAACTTTAATTAAGAAAAAATTTTAAACATATCCTTATCCTGTGAAATTAAGCAGTTTTGTATGTTTAAGTTGTAATTTGTAAATGCCTTGAAACAAGCTATTTCCTTGTATCTTCCACAACACATAGAAAATTACTTATAATATATGATTAATATATTTATTAATATATGACTGATAAATATCTTATTAATCCACTATAAAAAGTGTTTCTGCCTATAATATCATAATAGAAATTTTAAGGCTCTGCTTACAGAAAATAATCAGAGAAACAAAGTTTTATACAAGATGTTACTTCCAACATTATTGGTATTAGATTTTTTTTTTAAAGGAGGAAGGATTAGGGATTATGATACCCATAGTAAGCCGTTGGGCTGTTGTGGAAAAAAATGCCCTTGGAAGCAGAGAGTCCAAACCCCCTGAATTCTCAGCTTATACCTAAGAGTTGTGTGATTGATTTCTAACTTTTGTTTTGTAAAGTGGGAATAATGATATCATATAGCTGTGGTTAATGTGAAAATTATATATTAAATAAAACTCTCTGTACATGATAGCTATCATTTCAACATCTATGAAGAAGAAACAGTTAACCTACAGTTAAGCCCAATACTGCTAGCATTTAATTTTCTGAATTCAACTGTACCCACTGGGTAATATTTTATTACTTTCCTAGTAAATACAATTAATCATTGAAAAAGTCAATTTTTCAGCCAAATTTATCAAAGCCTGCGTGAAATATTTTAGATTTTTTTTTTAGTTGTCAGTGAACCTTTATTTTATTTATTTATATGTGGTGCTGAGAATCAAACCCAGTGCCTCACACATGCTAGGCAAGTGCTCTACACACTGAGCTACAACTCCAGCCCCTGAGTGAAATATTTTAAAGATGTTTTTTTCCTCTAGCATTGAAAAAAAGTGTGGAACACCTTGTTCAGATTATAATTATTTCACCAAAACCCAGGCAGAAGACATTGAAAAAGTTATGGATATTTTTCCTGTAAATTATATTATTCAAATTTCCTATAATGAACATGCATTTCAGAATCAGAAAAATTTTATTAAAAATAAATTGAAAGGCAGAGGCAATCATGGTGCAAAACTAAATGAGAGGAGAGAATTTGAGAGGAGCAATGTGGCTTGAAAACAGCCCTACTGTTTGACACAGATAAAGTTTGTCTGATGTGGGGTGAAACTTCCTCTTGGTTTCTTTTCACAAATTTAGATTCTGGCTGATAACAGAACCACAAATGGTCCAAAGGACTCAAAAAACTTTCCAAATATTATTTTGTTAGTTGATGCTCACAATTTTTATAGGCAATCACATTTGTGAAATTCTGAAACTCACAAGAGGGGATCCACTTTCAGGGAGTCAGGGACTAGTACAACTTGGGTTTCTCATAAGCTAGATCCACTACTCACGTAGGGATCTAAAGAGAGCCTCTAGTCTTAAAATCATGGGCATCCTTCCTGGCGAGATTAATAAATAGCCCTATTGAATTAAACTGTTTCGTTCTTGTACCATTGCTGATGTTCAGAGGAACAGTTGCTTATATAATAATTGTTTAATGTATTTCATTGGAGTTTAATTATATTTATGG